AAAACAGCGGAGAACCATGCAAAAAACGCATCTTCGCACGGGCAGCCCGTGCGTTGGCCAATTATTTTCATTTTCGCCGTAGGTCGGTTTGTCTTGCTCATCTGTATTTCGCCATGTTAACCCTTGGGAATATGCTACAAGGAATTATTGGAGAAGAGAAGTACGCACATTACTACTCTGGTAAATTGCTTTCTCCCAAGAAAGAGACGTTTTAAGTAAAATTATAAAAAAATACACCACTAAATTGCGGCATGTCTCAGCAAAATCACTAAAATTCTGATCTCCTTGCGGTTGTTCAGGTGGTTATCTTAATCATACTGCTGATGTCAGCTGTAGCTGGACCGTGCCATAGAATATTCTTTCAGTGAGATGTTCACTTCTGATAGATGTATTCACATCGACGCATCCATCCAGTCCCAATGCTAATTAAAAAAAGAAAAAAACAAATTATTTTAAGGTCTAATATAAAAACTCGAGATGAGGAAGAAGTACCGGGACCATCAGCACCTGAACAGCAACCAGCTTCCGTTGATGATACCAGTGCAGTAAAACAGGAGGATGATGAGACCAAGCTGAAAAATAACGACCTGATGGAAATTTGGAAGAAACCACCGGATGATCCCGATCCCGAAAAAATCGCTGAGCAGGAACTGGATGATTTCTTGGATGATTTGTTGCTGTGATGTCAGGTTGTGCTATTATTGCATGATTTTATCATTCTTGATGAAACTGTACATTACTAACATTGGATCAGCTTTACAGCAAGGTTTGCGATGTTATTTTTAACCCGGTAATTAAGGCGACAGCAGCAGCAGGCTCTCCGAGATTAAGCATCACAGCACCATTCGCCATATTAAAATAATCTTACTGAATGTATAGAATTATTTTTACAGCCGGATTTAATCCATTTTGAAGCAAGCTCTTTAGTTCATTTTTCTTCTAATTGGCGATTTTCTCAACCTAGTTTCCTGTCACGCAAGGCGGTAATTCTAATGTTGAAATGCCCGAAATGGAAAATTTTGTTAGTTATTTAGAACAGAACTTCCCCGAAGCAAGCTTCAACTGGGGCCGAAAAAGTAATCAGACCACTAAAGGATGCAAAACAACAGAGTATGGTGGAGCTGCGTGAATAACCCTTCGTAACGTTCGGACGCCAAAGGCCTTCATCGCGTTCCTTTTCGTCGTCGGACAGAGACCACCCTTCGGTGCCAGTCACGATAATTAAATTTCTTTTAAAAGCAGTAAAGAAGGGTCATTCTTTTCCCCTTTATAAAATAATTATTAAATAAAGATCAATTTTAATCACGATATCTTAAAACTTTCACGAATGTACCATTTAGATTGCAACAGCTAAAATGATTTTTAGCTCCATAATTAAGAACTTATGAAAATTTAAGTTCTTTTACAACTTAATTTATACTGAAAATTTGCGAATTAGAATATGCAAATTAAAATTAATTTATATTAAAACTTATACTATAACATAAATTAAACATAACTCTAAAAAAAAAATTCGTGGCTAGGAACAGCTCTCGACTTCGACATTCTCAACAAGGCCAATGCGTTTGCGATATTCATATAGTGTTGACAACTGTACTGCTTGAAACTGAGCCCAATCTGGACGGCGATTCGTTTCATCGGACTGATCGTGTTATCGTGCGCCTGAAAACAAAACGTTTTTTCCATCCACCCTTTCCGCTGCCGCTTCGTTTGCACCTCTCTCCAAGTGCTGCCCCTTCTTCCACAGATTGAGAAGCCAGTGCGTCCGTTCCGTTCCCTCTTTAATTATTGCAGTAATTAAGAATGCGGCTAGCTTCACTGCCTCCGGTGCTATCATATAGCCACTGGCTTGGAGAATATGGATCTTCTCGAGGAAAGCTGTGTTCGAACGAGCATTGTTTGCGCCGCGTGATCTAAGAACGATACTGAACTGTCACCTGGTGAAGAGGAAAGGTTTTTCATGTTATTCAGGAAAAAAAGGGCTATTTTCCACATTGCCCATTCATCCATTTGCGGTTTTTGCATGAGACGGTCAGTCGTCTCATTGGCATCTGTTTCATTAGCTGGAGGTGGCTACTCATATTTCTTGGTAAGCATAAGACTTCCGCCACATGAAGTGGAGAACCTCTTCAAAATGTCTCTGTGAGGCTGTACTAATTCTGGTTTCTTCTCGAGTGCTTCTATCTGTCTTCACTACTGTGGTATTTCTTGTTCCCGTAACGAAAGAGTTTGGTCCTCGCCTTCGAAGCCCCACTACTACGGCCTGCTGCCCTTTCCTGAACAGGCCAGAACGATGCAGTTAGTTTCTCGGTGGCATTATGAGCTCAGCCTGGGAGTAGCGTACGCTAAGTGTATCGCGTTGCCGACGGCCCATACTCGCCAGAACTGTACGCACAACACTTTGAGGAACAATATCAACAAAAGAAACGGGGAACGCGCACTACTAGCTTGAACGGCACGGGGAGAAATGGCAGGCTCGCAGGACGGAGCCGTCATACACGACAATTACTGGCCCGGTTTCTCGGCCGGATCACCTTGACGACAAGCGCATCAAGGGTAAGTACTTTTACTACGTTTTTACTGCTTCGTTTAAAGCTACTCCAATGCGTCTGCCAGCACTCCGTCTAGGAACGATGTTTATGGAACGGGATCTTTTCTGTGACAGCAAACGTCCTTAGGCTCGTAGGACACATATTTCGGCCATCCAGGCTACGACCCAACGAACTCGGTCCTGGTTCCGTGGGTACAGGTGGAGCCCACGGCAAAAAACCTTTCCCTCTCTGGGTTTAAAGCACCTGGGCGGATGGACGCAGTCGCAGGCTCCTTAAAGCGTATCAGTCTTGCTGCTCCGTTTTTGGTCTTCAGCATCTGCTGGGCGACCAGCTTCAGGCCAGTCCTCCCGACAACTCGTCGACGACGCAGCAGCTTCGTGGCTGCCATCTCTGTTTATCCACGGCGGCAACTTTTGCCGTGTTAGCTGATGGGCTTACTGATTGGGGAGCAGCTTCATGACTGCTTGCTGAGTGTTCTACATCGACTCAACGACGGTGGCAGTCGCCGCGTTCTTCGAGCGGGCTTTTCAATGATGCAGGTGCTCCTCTGCCTTGTTTTACTATTCGTCGACGACGGCGTCATTCGCCGTATTCTCTGATAAACTCATCAACGGCATAGCAACCTTGCTGCTACACGCTTATTTAGTTTTCATGGGCAGTGGCAGTCTGGGCCCGCTCTTCCCAACAGCCGTACGGACGGTGCACCCTCGTAACGGCTGGATCTTATGGAGTCGAGAGCACGGAAGCACCTATGTTCTGGTCATGCAAATCAACACCAATTCAACGTGTCATTCGTCCATTTTAAGGAGTATCATATCAGACCAGGCACTTCAACTTATAATGAGCAAACGATTAAAGAAACTGTTTATTAATTTCCGTTCGGTCACCATAGATGGCGTTGTCATTGGAAGTCGTCGTCACGGTACGTTGTGATGATCGGCAAGGACACTTAGTTTGCGCTGATACTGTATTGACTTTGTACTGCCTGAGATTGTGCGTTAAAAAGATAAAAGTTGGTAATACCGAACCTATCACTTGTATTAGCTGAGACAGGCCAGCACTCGGTTAATGAAGATGGGCCAGTAAAAAGTCAACGTACTGCTCCCACTAAGCATCCAGCATTCAGTTGGTTCGAGACCGTTACTGCGTATGGCTCTGCAGTTACAACTATTATTTTTGCATAAATTCTTTCAAATATTCGCAAGTACCGCGACAATCAGTCAACGGGTCTGACAACTGGTAGTTAGAGAAGAGAATTTCTTCAAATTGTACGCTACTTCACACTCCTCTCTTATTTTTCCATCTTTCCACTATGCTACTTTCGAGGACGTTGTAGTTTTTTTGCAACTATAAACGAAGATTACATCATTCTCGTTATTTACCACTTCTTCCATTCTACTGTTACATCCAAGCGGTGTGGCTGCGACGCGAGGGGCGCTGTTGTGATCATCCTTGGCGAGGTGTGAAGCGAACAATGTCTTAGGGTCATGTCGCCTGGAGATCCTTTTGCGAGCAGCGGCCGGAATGCAGTCGATTTCAGGCAGTTCGCGACGCATAGGCGCTGCATGAGCACCACCCTTATGACGGAATCCGGATCTAAAATCGAGCTTACCTTGACTGTGCAATTCGGACTGTCCAACGCTCTCTCAGCTTCCTCGTTCACGGATTCGACTTTTTCCGCTGCAGAGTTCCGAAATCCAACGGTCCAGAGCGCTTCGATGTGATAATAGGCAATCTTTTCCACTTATGATAGTACTCGTTTACTTTGTTGTAGTTCCACTTGTTGACTACCTAGAATATATTGCTTTATATATTACTTCTGTCTTCAAGACCTCGGCAAACCCCTAATTGAAACTATAGTAAGGATGATGCATCCCCGATCCGTTTCCGCAAATGTCACTGGGTGGCCAGTCGTTATATCCTGTGCGTTGATAAACACAAATTTGAAGAGTATTCACTGCGAGGATATGCCCCGCGGGGACACACAATATGAATCAAGATTGGTCCTACAAAAGCGCAGGCACTGTATCCAGCTAGAATACGTTGCTTCTTCCGCTATTTTGTTCTTATTTTCGCCACTCTATTGGCAGTATTCCAGAGTCGAGAATATCAGGACGCAGCAGCTATTGTTCTGCAACTGCGTTCCAAAGGATTCGTTGCGTACTCGACTGAAACCAAAGCCACACCTCCTCGATCAAACATGCAGACCTGCGGGAGTAACAAACAAGGCCCAGTCAAAGCCGGGGTATCGCAATCAAGGAAGTCTGGCGTCGTCACAAAGGACCGGCGCTGCTTCTCGGAACATCTGGGGGCCATACGAGTATCCGACCAGCTTGTAGCATCAACAGCCCCATTAATCACTAAATTCAAAAACGATTTTTAATATTTTGAATTTTTCCATTTTCATTCGAGTGGACCATCTGTATCCACTTACATAATGATCCGCAAGCTGCATAAGCAGATAGCAGCATGCAAATTGACCCCGAAAGTGCAGACGGCAAAGGTGTGAAGGAGTTCAGGAGAAAAGAAACAGTGTAGATTAGAGAAAGTAAGAGCTCGATAAAACATTTCGCTCCATTAAGTCATATACGTCTTAATTTAGCACTGCGACTAGACCTTGTCAGTATCACGGTCGCAGTGCATAAGGAGCAAGGAAGAAGAAAGAAAGAATGAAGTGAAATAAAATGAAAACCGAAAGTGAGGGGAAACAGAGACTGTAACATTATAAAATAGGAGAGAAGTGGGGAGTTAAAAACAGGGGAGAGAGATGGAAGTAGAAACACAGTAATCTAATGAATTAGTGAAGTCGAAGATGAAGTGATTTATGAAAAAGTAGTCTTATATGTATGAAATGGAATTAAATAAAAAGCAAAAGAAATGTATGCAAACCTCGATGACGGAGATTTTGTGGCTGGAACCGTCGTCGGAAGCGTTTTTACTTCGTTTAGCAGCAGCCAGATCTGGAATAAGCAATAAGGGATATATAAGCTAAGGGGGGAAAAGCGAATCGAGAACGCAACTCGGAATACATAAGAGACCGGAAGGAGTGGGGGTTACGTGGACAGGCAGTGTATCAGGCAGCGACAGTGTATTATAGTGGAAGGGAAATATTTGACGAAGTGGGATCTGTTTTTATGCAAAAACCTTTACAGCGTAATCAAGAAACAAACGGCGAGCCGAAGAAATGTGTCTTTGAGGGGAAGACTTAATGCGTAAATATCTTATGAGTCGATTATAAATCGTACCAGCATGGACCGATGGATGCACATTGCTATGAAGCGAAGAATACTTAATGGGAGAACGTGAAGTGGTCATTTTTATAATAAAGTGTGGAAGTTGTATGGAGTTTTTCATCTAAGAAAATAGTTATATCTAAATAGTCAGCCGAAGTCCCGGAACCTTTGCTCTCAATATCCAAGTACTGGCCATATAAGTTCAAAAGAAGCGAGCGAGAATGAGGGCAGTTAAGCACGAACAGGTTGTCAACGTATCGACAGAGGAGGAGTGGGGGATTGCTAAGGATCCTACTAAATTTGAATTCAAGTACGGAGAGGGTGAGATCAGCAATATCGGAGCTAGCATTACCCCCATAGGGATACACTTAAACTGGCGGAAAATGTAACCGTCAAAGCGAACAAAATCTTCGTCAAACACCGTGCGAAGGACACTGCCGATTTCTGCAGAAGGGTAGACTAAGCCAGAATGAAATTATCTCGCACGGTTAACATAATAAACGTTCTTAGTAGTAATATGCAAAGCGTCGGCACGGGCATTGTGAAAACAAGGAGATAACCGAGCGCGTCGTAAATGACATGATGAGGCAGTTTTGCCATCGGCTGCTGAAGCCAGTCATCATTGCTTGTATTTGGAACAAACTTGGGCTACCTTAACGGTAACAGAGCCTGATGAAGCGGATACGCCAAACAAAAATGAAATGAACAAAAAAAAAACAGCAGAGGAGCAGATTTCCGGTGGCTAAAGTTGAGAAATTAGCAGTATGAAAATGTTGAACAGGGCCTCATTCGTTCACGAATGCGACCACCTCACTGGAGTTCCGAACACTGTAAAAGATGTGCTTGCGTAGCCTGCGCTGTAGCACCAGTGCGTAATTGCAGAGGTTCTGACGGGAAAACTGGAGTACACGATGAAGAAGAATGCTTAAAGGCTTTCGGCTAATGCCGTTCTGTTACACGTGAAAGTGATGGATCAACAAACGGTTTGCTGTTCAGTGCGGGGATAGGAAAGGAAATAGCACCGAAAAAAAAAAATTTGCGGTAATATGTTGAACATGAAGCCAGCAAGTGGACAGAGGGGATTATCCGGTTGTGCACAGGTTGGTGCGGCTGCCACAGAGACTGAACCTAGTCGAGAATGTGGCATTAAGTGGATTCTCGACTAACACAGTGCCCAGTGATGCAGACAGTACCCTCTCACTAAGCGTACATGTGGCACTAGGACGCTGATGTGATTAAACCTGTTGACCTCTTTCGTCAGCTTCATTCAGAAGGTATGCGTCATTCACAGTGCGAAATTGAATCCAGACAGATCCAATTTATCCATTCGGCAGAGGGCGATCCGCGCAAGTTTTTGATTGTTCGCTTCCTCACAGCCATTGATAAACAACGCTTCGATAGCTGGGAACGGCTCATGCCCAAAGATTTTTGCCAAATGGACGTATCATCATCACTCGTAATGATCTCACAAA